AAAAAAAATAAACCCCCCCCCCCCCCAATAATCAGCACGTGTAGTTGTGCCAGGGCGCATCAAGGCCGTCCCGTTACTCTTTATACAACCAAGGAACTTTCTCCCGAACAAATTGAAGGTTTCATTTAATTTATTTAGTATTAAATTGTTATGCTTTAAAAAAAAATTAAAACCACATAGAGTAAAAGTTATTGACATCTTATTGGAAGACTTAACTTGACACTAACTGCACTCACACTATAAAATAGTTGTAGAATACTTTATTGAATGACGTCAGAGATGGTTTATTTACTTGGAATATTTTTTTTTGAATTTATAGATTTGTATTTGGTAGGCATATCTCTTCTTTTGCTTCAGATAACATTGGTTTTGTCCCCACCACTATCGACCCAGGACTCCGCCCCCTTACGGGGTATTGATTTAATGTCCTTAAGATATTATATCAACCTCAAACCAATCAGTTCGAAATCCTTTAACATTACATCAAGCAGAAGAACGCTCAGTAAACGCGTCTATCTTGAAACTAGAGGACGGGTGGAGGGGGACTGAATTGAACATTCCGCACGGGCCGCCCGTCCAACAGGACGAATGGTGAAATGGCTGGCGGCTCCCTTCACCATTTTCTTTGTGCTCTTAGTTTAAGAAAAATAATATGCCGTTAACTCTTTACATTTCTTTCATTTTTGTCTTTTCCTTGAGATTTTTACTGACCCCCATAAAATGTCCATAACTGTAAGGATGTATGTCTAAAGTACATGGTGTTAGCATGTATGTCTAAAGTGCATGGTGTTAGAATGTATGTCTAAAGTACATGGTGTTAGAATGTATGTCTAAAGTACATGGTGTTAGAATGTATGTCTAAAGTACATGGTGTAAGAATGTATGTCTAAAGTTAGAGACCGACCGAATTTCGGCTTCGGCTTCGGTTTCGGCGCCGAAAGTGGCCATTTTATCACTTTCGGCCAAGTTTCGGTTTCGGCCGAAACTGAAAAGTTAACTTTCGGCTTAATTTCGGTTTCGGCCGAAAGAGAAAAGTTAACTTTCGGTTTTTCTTCGGTTTCGGCCGAAATTGACTTAGACTTTCGGCCATCCGGCCGAATGTGACTCAGGTTTTCGGTCATTTTAATACTCAGTGAAAGCGATATTTAACAACAAACTAAGCGACATTTAAGAACAAATTAAGCGATTTTTGAGAACAAACTAAACGATATTTGACAACAAACTAAGGGTCATCTAAGAACAAACTAATCGATCTTTATGAACAAACGAAAAGATCTTCAACAACAAACTAAACGATCTTTAAAAACAAACTAAACGATCTTTAACAACAAATTAAGCGATCTCTAAGAACAAACTAAACGATCTTTAACAACAAACTAAGCGATCTTTAAGAACAAACTAAAGATCTTTAACAACAAACTAAACGCTCTTTAACAAAAACTAAACGATCTTTAACAATAAACTAAAGATCTTTAACAACAAACTAAACGATCTTTAACAAAAAACTAAAAGATCTTCAACAACAAACTAAACGATCTTTAAAAACAAACTAAACGATCTTTAACAACAAATTAAGCGATCTCTAAGAACAAACTAAACGATCTTTAACAACAAACTAAGCGATCTTTAAGAAC